AAAAAGTTTCTTTAAACATATTTTCGTCTGTACATATATTAAAATGTTTTTGTTGTTATTTGTTAAATTGTTATGCTAAATTCATAATTGTAAAGCTGCCGCTACTGTTTGTTATTGGGCAAAGCGTGATAAAGAAGTATCCCACATTGTTGTTGTTTGTGAAATGGTTACATAAAAATCCGTTATCTGCCCTTACAGGAGGCAGAAAAAATGAATCAGCTTAGCTCGCCTTCCTTAAGAGTTAAAGGTACAAAAGCCTACAATTCGGCCAAACATATCGATGTACTCCGGAGCGAAACAAACAATAGCTGAAAGATAAAACCAGGCAGAGACGGTTTGTAAGACTAAAACATTTTTCGGTCGTCGTGAAGCGCTTTGTCGCACCGGAACAAGTTAGTGGTGTGAAGAATAATACACGTGCACGTCGCTCAAAAACTACTGAGAAGATTGCTAAAGTGTTGCAGTGTTGAAGAAACCCACGGTTTGCCTATTCCTCATCGTTCTTTGGAATTGGGAATTGTGCAAACGTCCCCACACCGAATTTCACATAATGACTTCAGCCTTAGGGCTTATAAAGTTCATTTAACAAAAGAACTCAAGCCGATTTAACATCAACAAGGCCGCGGCTTTGCTAATTTGGTCCTCGAAATGCATGAAACTTATTCTGAATTTCAGCGAAAAATTATCTCGGTTGATGAAGCCTATTTCCATCTCGATGGCTATGTCCCCTAGCAAAACTGGCACATCTGAGACTCGAAAAAGCCGAGATTTATTGTTGTAAAGTCCACAACGTGCAATTATTTGCTGATCCGGCGTGGTCATTGGTCTTTACTTTTTCGAAAATGAGAATGTATTGCGCTATCGAGTTGTGATTAATAATTTTTTTTATGGCCGGAAATGAATGGTATTGATCTGGAGAACTTTAACTTTCGAAAATACGGCTTTACTTGCTACAAAAACAACGAAACCAACGCTCATTTAAGGGAAAAGTTTCAGGACCGTGTTATCTCTCGAAGAGTTGATCGCAATTGTCCATCGTGATCTTGTGATTTAACATCTTGCCACTTCTTCCTTTGGGGTCACGTGAAAGATAAGGCCTACGCCAACGGTTTGTCGTCGATTTGAGACCTCAAAGATGAAGCTCGTAATACTATTGAGGGCATACAGCAGCCACCCTGCGATTTGGGGATGGAAAATTAAAAAAAAATGGCGGCCCTTAGGTAATATTGTTTTCCATTATTTATGGCATATCTTCCACTTTACATTCAGATTAACATTTTTGAATAGCAAAATAAGGCTTCATATTGGAAGCTCCTGCCCAAAAATTTATAAAAAAACATACAACTGCTGGTATTTGCCGCTGATAATGAAGTTATCTGCCTGATCAACCAGACATTTAGTTCTGCTTTCTACATACTCGGAAAGGAAACGCTGCGATTGGGTATTTTAGTGAATGACTAAAGGACGTAATATTGATTATTAAAAAGTCTCCGTGGACGTTGGTTTTTTTTTAATTTTCGAACAAAATTTTTCTTTATTAAAAATAATTTTAATCAAGTGCGTATTTACCATTATTATCAATGATATTTTGCTATTTTTCGGGTAACGTCATAAACCCGTCAGTATCGAAGTACTGTGGCTTATCGGCAATGAGCTTTGCCAAATGATTTTCAGCGGCTCTTTGGCTTTTACCCTCAAGAGGGTTTTGCAGTGGCCGAAAAAGATCCGGACTATATATTGGACGCATCAAAGCTTGCCAATCAGGCGCTGTCAACCATTTTTTTATACTTGTTTCGAAAACTCTCTCTACATAGACGTTAGGAAGGCTCCCTAAGTGTTAAACTATACTAGATTATCATTATTCGAAGAGAAATATAAGAAATGATCTCAGACAAAATCTTTAGACAACGAAATTTTAAGTCACCCACAGATTTGCGATAAAAATAATGAAGGAAAGTCATATACAGTAAAATTTTGAGATAAATATTTCCATGGAGTTTCTTATAGCTCTCATGAGCATGAACTGGTATATCAAGATTCGTCCAAAATATGTAAGTGCCAGAGGGAGGAAAAATATATAGTCACACCAAAATTTGTACCGTTTTGAACAAGTTGCCACTGCCCAGATTACTTAGCCATGCCTGCTTGTCCGTCTTATAGGGTTCAAACAAATCCATCAGTTTTGGCTCGTATATTTATCCCATCGTAAATTTACACTCGCACTGAAAATAATCAAAATCAAACAACTATAATATAGAGCTACACCGATTTCATCAGAAATGAAAGAAAGCATCTAAGAGCGCGAAATTTAAAACTATATATTTGTATCTACAAAGAAACTGGCGATTTTAAAAAAAAAAAGTAAATAAATCTTTTTTAATTTTATTATGAACTTTAATCCATTATGTAATTTTCATTTTGTTGGATGACTTTTCGCCATCTTTCCGGCAACATCATTATTCCACGCTCATAGATCATCTGGCCTTCTGCAAAAAAACTGAACCAAGTGCGACTTTATAGCCTCATCATTGCCGAAAGTTTTACCATTTAAGGAGTTCTGCAAAGATCGAAATAAATGGTAGTCTAATGGTGCAAGGTCAGTGCTATGTGGTAGATGCATCAACAGTTCCCAGCCAAGCTCACTCAATTTCTGGCGAGTGACCACAAACTTGTTGCCAACTTCATTATACCCCACTTGTAGAAGGCTGCGTCTCTATTTGCAAAAAACTCGGAGAGCCAAGTTTCCTTCTCTTGACGCCAACTTCTCACCATTAAGTTGAAAACGAAAAACTTTTCCCTCCTTCCAACCAATTGTTCAGATAAGAGAAATAATATTTAATCCTTAAATGACGAAGACAGCTCTGCTTTCTGCTCTGTTTCTGTTGAAGTTTTCAGAGAACAATAATAATAATCACTTCTGTAATGCTTTAAACCTATTTTAAGATATTTCTTGAAGTGAAGATTAGAATGTTTTGACTTAAGGGGCACACTTAGTGTGATTTTTGTGATTTAAACAAAAAAATACTATATCAATTATTTCACAATTTTAAGAATATATTTATATATGTTTCAAGAATATACAGTAAAATTTTTGATAAAAAATTTAAATATTTTATAAGTTATAGTCGATCTCCAACGGCGCGAAAAAAGGTCTTTCACTGCTGCAGTGGTTCCAGCCTTCTCCGAGGATGAAATCTAAAAAAAAAAATTCTCTACTAGATAATATTGTCTGTACAATGTTCTACGATAAAAAAAATCAAAAATTGGCAATATGGCAGCGTTTTAAAAAAATAGTCGAATTTTACACAAAATTTTGGTCGTTTTTGGCCTGTCAAAACTCGATTTTTTGATCAGATTAAAAATCGATAGGTGATTGTACGGAGAATTATATATAGAACATGTAAAAAACTTCGATAGAGATCGGATCATTCGTTTTTTGAGTAATCACTACAGCAAATTCGGAAAATACTGTCTCGAGAAAAACGCGTTTAAAGATAAAATGATCGTTTTCACTCGTAGCTAATGAGAATCTCAAGCTTCCGAGCGGCTGCTCTTTAGATTGCTTAAGCTCAAAAACTATTTGAGATATCAATTTGAAATTTTAATATGTTATTTTATCATATTAAAGGTGTAATCTACTGAAATATGAAAACAGATCGATTTTTTTGAAATCTCACACTAGGTGTGCCCCTTAAGAAAGATCTATTGATTTTAAAAAAAACTGTGCAGTGAGTAGGAATATTGAAAGCAGGGAATATGTGGACGAGTTGCTGCATATGAGCTGTTTTCGGCCTATTGAGATCTTATATCCACTATGATGATACTAACGTCAGTCTCATGGTGATAAGCACACAAGGGATGGGAGAAAACTTTCAATGTAATTTTAGCTTAGTTAGTTAAAAGTTCGTTTTTGAACGAGAACGAGAAGAAAATTCACTTCTTCATCCACCTTATTGCATATGTAATTCAGTTAAACTTTCTCCCAATTAATGGCAAATTATAGTGTGTTTTGACTATGACCAATTTGCACATTTCAAAATTTACTGCCAATTTTTTCAATTATCGTGAAAATTAGCTCGTTAGTACGTTCAAGTGAAAACTTATATGTATTATATATGTATTTTTCGGTAATTTCCACGCCTCACCATATTTGTACAGTAAATTTCCGCTAATGACAAGCGCGCCAATTGGAGGTACACACGAAATACCTTGAAAGTGACATACAAGTATTTTGGTGTAATCATCAAAAGCTGACTCTCCACCATCACCATTTTTTAGGTAAAAAAAAAAATATATATATATATATATGCATGTATACATAAAAAATGAAGAAAGCTTAAATAAAAGTAGCTGACACATTCCGTACTTTTCAACCTTACAAATTTGGCAGTTATGGCGACTCTATGGCTGGGAAAATGCGTCATTAACTAACTTTACTGTATACCAGTATGTATGTACTATGTTAAATAAATAAGAAAATTGTTTGCATATTCACACACATGTACATATGTACATATGGGAGCGTAAAATGGTCATTGATGAAGATGCCACATCATCCATCATTCAGTTGTCTACACACTCTTATTTTATATAATCTGCATACAGACATACATACATTCATACTTGCGTATAATATATCTTCGCGTCACATTGACATTCCCTGCTGTTTGCTGGAAAAGTTAAAGCGCTGACTTTTCACGCTTTGCTCTACTTCGGTGTACATAGATATGTACTCGTACATATGTGCCCGTGTACAGAGGAAATAGTGCATAAAGCATTTCAAGTAGACGTCACAAAAAAGATAATCTGTTAGTGCACTTATTTCGAGTTAATTATTTCAAAAATTAGCTCAGTAGATTTTTTATAATATTCCATATAAGTACATTTTTATTATTTTTATTTTTTTCTTTAAATATATTTGAATAAAACTCAGATCTAAATTGACTTGAATCTCCCCTATCTTTCATTAATCTTTTACTGTAACCGTTATTTATTTTCAGATTTCCTGCTGCAGCCATTTCGTAAACCGAAACGTGTGCGCACAGCATTTTCGCCTACTCAATTGCTTAAGCTGGAGCATGCTTTCGAGAGCAATCATTATGTGGTGGGTGCTGAGCGAAAGCAATTGGCGCAGGGACTGAGTTTAACAGAGACACAGGTAAATGAGTTATGACTGTTGTGTGTGTTTGTATGCTTGTACAAGAGTTTTATTGGTTTCTGCACTCTTTTTAGCCAGTGGAGCCTAAAGGTGATGATAAAAATAAGAAGGTCAAGAAAATACTGCATCTAGCCTGCACGTTTTCTGAAATTTTATTTACAGTGGAATCTGATTTATTAATACATAGTTTCAGAGTTTTTAGATCCAAAAACAATAAGGTAGAAATTGCAGCATATTTTAAGGCTTCCTCTAATTTATACATTTTGCTTTCGTGTTTTTCTCGGCTGGTTTCTATAGATTTTTAGTTTAGAAGCACTAATAATTTATTGTTTCAACTGCACTCGAGTCGATCCGCAATATTTTTTTGTTGGGCACTCGCCATCTTTCGGTTACTTAAATTTTTCTGTTCGAAATAGTCAAAAAAATTGAAAGGGTGATTTTTTAAGAGCTATGGGAAAGTTTTCCGAAAAAAAAATAAAATAAGATTCAGAAAAATGCATGAAATCTTTATTTGAATCGAGAGTACGGTCCATATAATATAATGTTTGAAGATTATTTCATGCAAATGTTGACCGTGACTGCGCTTCAGATGGTCCATCCGCTTAGTCCGATTTTGGCATCTCACGAATAAATGCTTCAATGTTGTTCTCCAATGCGTGAATTGAAGCGAGCTTGTCTGCATAGACATTCAATTTATCATAGCCCCACACACTAGACGGCCAATTGACCGGTGCCCAAAGGGAAATATAATGTGCACAGAACTCACCCTCAATAAGTCTATTGTTACGCGTGCTGTGAGACATGTAGCACCGTCTTGTTTAAACCACATGTCAGGCAAATTACGCTCTTGCATTTTTGGCAAAAAATGTTTGATACCATCCCCCGGTAACGCTCACCATTCACGGTTACGTTACGATTCGCATCATCTTTGAAGAAGTGCCGTCCAATGAGGCCACCTGCCCTTAGACCGCACCAAACTGTGACTTTTTCTGGATGCATTTGTAGCTCTTGCAATGCTTCTGGCTAATCTTCTCAACAAAATCGACAATTCAATAATTCGCAAGCGTTGTTCATTTGTAGGGCGATTCTTGGTTAAATTATAGACCAAACTGAAGATGTCTGACAGTGGTACAAAGCACGAAACGTGCGTCAGCTGTTTAAACCTGTGTTGCCAAAAAGATCACCCTTTCTATAGTTAGCACTTTATAATCGCTGAAATGATTCCCAACGGAACTCCTTCTTCAATTGGTAGGATGTGTTTTGATTGATTTTCCAACAACCTACTCTTTGCATACAATTATTTATGAGGAGCCTTTATTTCATATTGGAATACCAACATCCAACATCCCGAAAGCATAATATTTCCTTTCCATTATCCATTTGGCTATTTTGTTTATAATTCAGTTGAGAGTCTCTTACGTTGATTCTTTTATTGAGGAGATATATGTATGTAAGAACATCACTTGTATTTGTAAGGCAACGTTTGACTTTTAGACGCCGAGCTTTGCTGCTATATCCCTGGTTGCTATGCGCCCAGTTTGTTTCGATTAACGTCTTTCTTTATTCCATATATTATTCGTTTCTTAGCATATGAAGCTCTACTCCTATTATAATTGAGTTAACAATACCTAGTCGATTCTCTATTTTGCTGTTCGAAGCCAATTAGAGACACCAAATGAAGCCAAATCTTCTCCACCTGATCCTTTCTCCTTAGTTTCCGCTATCGGGAACTGTATCGAAAATTTCAAACATTTAGTTTTGTTGCCAATACGGTCGACATGGCATAGCCAACGAAGCTCTTCTCTCCCGATTCGTTGAATGATGTCAAGTCCGTCGTAAATCTTGTAGCGCTCATGGTTTCAATGTCTGCGGTATTCACGCCGGCGAAAATGCAAAAAATATAATAAATTTGCGCCAAAAAATGTCTTTTTTTACGACGTAAGGACTTTATTTTTTAATTTTCTACTCAGTTCAAGGAAGTGCCATTTGGCGAGAGTAATTTTGAGTAGCAACTCAATGCTAATATTATTGGTAATGATGATAATTTCAAAGTTATAACTGTCAACAGTGACGACATTCAAATCGCTTCCTTAATGAATCTGAAGAAAGTAGAAAAAATTGCTCGATTGTAGATGCCAATGATATAAGCTTTACATCCGTATAAGTCTCGCAGGGTTGCTAAATTTGGTCACAACGACGTAGAGGTATCTCTCGAAACCAGCTTTAAAATCAAGAAGATGTAGTGTGTGTCAATCACTTTCTCAGGTTTTTTTTTTTTGCAGTACAATACGTTCGAGGCTAGCTCGTATGCGATATTGTGAAAATGTTATTCCCCAATAATTGCCAGAGATTATGGTCTCCTCCTTTTTGTGTATTGTGGTCTTAGTCGTCCAGTATGCACTCATCCGACCAAATTCTCCAAAGAAGCTGATGCATGCACCTTGTCAGTTCTGTACCGTCTTTTTTGAATAGCTCAGCCGTTAAGCCATCAGCTCCCGCCGTCTTGTTGCTCTCCAAAAGGCTAATCATTTTACGAAATTCTTCATGGTCGCGTAATATAACATCTATTTCATCGTCATCGATTGGGCAATTCGGTTCTCCATCTCCCGTTGTTCCATTTTCTTTGCCATTAGTCGGCTCGAGAAGTGTCCACTTCACATACTTTTTCTTATTCTGGACATGGGTAGCTAGAACATCTATTTGAATACTACATGAGCGCTCTATGGTATTGAATCCTTCTATATGCCGCCGCATTTAGTAAGAGAATTCTGGAACTTTACTCCCTTCTTCAGTTTCAAGAGCTCTTCATACTCACGCAACTCAGACTCTAGCTTTTTCTGTGTGCAAATTCTGTCGCTTCTCTCTTCAACTCTCTGTATTAGGCTATAAAAACTGGTTGGTCCTTAGTTGGCTATAACCTCAAATACTATATCAGGTGTACAACTTTGCTTCCGCCGTTTTCCGATAGGTGGCTGTACCGGCTGAGGCTGAGTGAAATACATAGAAGATAATGCCTTTAAAGTGAGTGTGGACAGTGCCTAACGAATTGTCATCGCCGTTTCAGTGACAGTTGTTCTTGTTTTCGTATTATTCACGCTCGAAAATGTTCGTTAATGTGCCTAATTCTCGCCATTTGTGGGAAGTTCTACTCTTCTGTTACAATTCGAAAAAAATGCAGCTGAAGCCCATCGAATGCTCTCACAAACCTACGGTGATGCTGCTCTGAGTGAAATAACGTGTCGGGAGTGGTTTCAACGTTTTAAAAATGGTAATTTCTATTGTCGATGACAAACATGGTGGTGGAAAAGGAAAAACCTTCAAAACCTTCAAAAATTTCTTAAAACCGGGTGCGACCACAATATTAAGAGCGACATGACAAAGTCATCCTCCAACACGACAATGCTCAGCCTCACGTCGCAAAAGTGGTCAAAAAGTACCTGGAAACGCTGAAATGGGAAGTCTTGCCCCACCTGCCGCATTCCCCAGATGTCGCCCCTCTGACTTGCACCGATTCCGTTCGATGGCTCATGGCTGGCAGATCAACATTTTCAATCCTTCGGGGAATTGGATTGCTAATCCTAAATCTTCACTCTGTGTTTCAAGATTTATTCCTGTTTTTTATAGAATTAATCATTTTTTTGAACGGTCATTTAACGGTAGTATTCCGAAATTCAAAGTTAAAAAACAATAAAAATGGAAGTACAACTGTGCCTTTTGTATTGCCTGGGATCTGTTTCACACATTAGAGTCCAACAAAGGTGCCTATTATGTCTTCATCTTAAAATTCTTTGGTATCGTCTGTCGTTGTATGATAGATCTTGGTGTAGCCGCTCTCCTGGGAATACATTAAAAGTAGCTTTAGAGTTATTTTAGCTTCAAGTTTTCGTTAGCTATCCAATAGGCTGCCAAAAATTTGCTTAAAGTTTGGGAATTTATGATTACAAAGAAAGTGATTTGACATCAGTCAAAAATACTTCTACCTCCACGCGTCACCCCTGTCTTATCAATTATTTCTACATTTACTAGATATGAATTTTTATTGCAATAGTTGATTACACAATTACAATAAAAAGCTTGCCTTCAGTGCAAGCAGTCACGTGGCATCACTCGTGTTGGAATCACAAAGGTCGCTGCGCCCACTCATTGTCTCAACAACTCCAGCCAAAGAGCATTCATGTGATATTAATCGCTCACAGACTATTTATTGGGTTAAATAAAGGGCATCAAATTCAATAAACGGCTTCATATATAATATTAATCACGCCACCACCCCGAAGAAAGTACGAGCAAAAAGTGAGTCAAACGCCTACACTCTTTTACTTAAGTGAAAATGGCAACAGAAATTTCGAAACAACCCTTTCGGTACATACTGTAATAACAACTTACTAATTTCCATGTCTCTATGACAGTATATATGTACATATGTATGTATGTACATATAAAATTCAATGGTATGGGTAAACTTTGAATACTTTTATTACCGTTGTGACCGTTAAGTGATTGCATGTCAACTGATCGTTAACAGCCTAACTACTTGAGTTATTAGCTGTAAAAACAACCCCCAACCAAAAACCATGAAATTATTTGCATTGTTGTTGTTGCAATTGTGGCGGATAGCGCTTAAATACCAGGCAGGCACTCAAGTCGTCCTACGTCAGTTAACTGAGGATTTCTTATGTCGGCATGAAAGCCGATACGGCGAGGGTTGGAAAGTAATCATAGGAAGGGGTCGGAAAATTGTGCACCATCCAATTGACTTTCTGACACCCTTTTGTGTATTTATACCTGGCACTGGCGGGTAAATAACGGTTGTGGAAATAAAGTGGTTAATAGCTGGGTGGATTGCTAATCGGTTGTTGCTGAGACTGAAATCGTTGAAAATCGAAATCATTGAAAAAAACCTCTTTCTAAATTAATATCAAGCAGTGTGAAGAGGAAAATGGAAAAACAGGTCTTGGCAGCTGAAAAAATATCGACGACAACTATGTTAAACCAACCTTAAAGGGTGTGAAGACGACATTCAGCTTCACCCGCCATCAGAAAGCCTTTCTCTTACTGATATGCCAATCACTGCTTCATATCGGCAACACGCCAAGATATTGATAACCTTTGTTCAAGGGTGTGGGTTTGCGTCTTGATGTTTTCCAACAAACGGAGGGACCTACGATTTATACTGAGCCTCTTCCGAACGGCTGATGGGCGACCGCAATTAGAAAAAGTTTTTGGATGTTAGCAAGAAACCATGATTTGAAACCTTCCGAATGGCAGTACGCAATGCTAGCCAGCAATGCTCGTCTACCTTGTCTTTTTCACTGCACCGCATTTACTATCTCTAACCAGCAAAATCTACGGGGATTCTTTTCACTACCCGGACACAGCAACACCGGTTCGATCTGAATGTCAAAATTTTAGCAGTTAATCCGAAGTTGCTGGGAATCACATGAGGCAGTTAACAATCTCTCAGAACGCTGCCTTGCATACCATAACAGGCAACCTTATGATGTCAACTGCATAATATTTTTACAGATGAAGTAAATATTTGCTGCGATACTACCAGCGGGACCGTCCTTGCTAACATCTGCTTACAGTTGCAACATCCTCCAGGTATGTCAAGAGAGAGTACTTGACTCCGCTAATAATCATATCATAGCACTTTTGGACAGAATATACTATTAATTCCATTCATCGATGGACTGCTAACACAATCATTAATACTTGTTAATGCATCATCATTCTTACCAATAGGTGCTACTTTAGACTAAGAAGGCAATTGAAAAGTAAAGTCGTTTCTCGACGAAAAAAAGGCGAACTCTATAATACGCTCATCATTCTCATTCTCTACCAATTGATGCGGAGACATGAACGATCGCAATATCCAATAAGTTGGCATTAGGTTTTTTCAATGGAAATGTTTTGCGGATGTTTTCTGGGCCTTTGCTGTTCGGTTGCATGAAAACACTCAAGCCTTGAAAGTATTCGATACCCTACCCTAGGTCGAAAACAGTGAAGAAGACTTTCACTTTGTTGGAAAGATCAAGAAAACACATGGCTGCACATTAGCACCAAAAGCGTTAAAAGGCAAAAAAAAAAAAAAAACAATTCGTGCGCGTTTCTAGTCGGCTATGAATGCATAAGCGATGTCTATACCAGTACAGACGAAGGTGAAAAAAATCCAGACTGCCGCTCCTACAATCTTCCGCATAATCTAGTTCAGAAATGATTTGGATTACAAAAACAACACAACCTACTCATTACGTGGGGAAAAAACTAGGCCTCAAGTGGAGTATATTGAATTTGGGACTGTGTGCTCTCTCTCCTTTTGAATTTCGTTTGAAAGTCTGAAATTTAAATACTACATTTTTCAAACCTAAAACCACTCTTCACAGCATTGTCACTCAAAATATTTTACGCCATGGAGTAGTGCAGCAAGCATGGGAAATATATTAATAATAAAATTTCCATTGAGGTTAGGTAATCTATCATTTTTCATGAGATGACCAAGCACTTTCTTACCGTCCTCTTATTCAGTCACTTAAAATTTTAACAGGCCCGATAAGCTAGGCCATACATACAAATGTTTTACTTTCAGGAATTATTTATCTTTTACAGTGAATATTTCTCCGCTTCTTGTAAGATTTTGAAAAAATGACGACTAGAATTTGCATTGTGCTACATACATACTTATATTAAAACTGTTTTTCCTAACCTCAAAACCGTTTCCTTCATTTCAGGTTAAGGTTTGGTTTCAAAATCGACGCACCAAACACAAGCGCATGCAACAGGAGGGCGACAGCGACTCGAAAAGTCAGAAGGGCAGTCAGGCGGGTGACAATGACGGCGGCAAAAATGACAGCTCGCAAAATAGTTTCGAAGATCAAGAGGATGACGATGAGGAAGATATGATTGAGGAGGACGAGGATGAAGTGATCGATATGGATGATTATGGCAGCGAAATGGATGCCGAAGAGCATCAACGACTGCGCGAACAGTTTCAGCAACAATTGCAGCAACATCACGAGCAACTGCAACAACATATGCAGCAGCAGCAGCAGCAACAACAACAACAGCAACAGCAAACGCAAGTGCAAGTGCAACAACAAGCACATGTACAACAACTGCAACGGGAACAACGAGAGCTGAGAGAGCAACACCAGCAGCAGCAACAGCAACAGCAACATCATCATCAGCAGCAGCAGCAACATCATCAATTCATGCAACATCAATTGTATTTGCATCAGCAAGCACAACAGCAGAAGCAGCTGCAATTGCAACAACAACAGCAACAGCCATAATTGTCAACGCTCAAGCGTGAAGCTCCATGAATGACGGCGCCTGCTCCATTAAACTGCAGCTAATTGCCGCAACTGGGCGTAGCCGTTGCAATGGCTGCTAGCTCGCACTCTCTCCCTCTCTGTCTCACTATCTCTCCATCGCTCTTTCTATCCCATCTCCATCTGTTTGCTGTTGCCAACTCGTTACTCTCGTTTGATACTCGCTTATTTATGCGAATTGTTCCGCCAAACCAAACTCTTATGTACTCGAACGTGTAAATTATTCAAGAAATATTATTAATTAATTTGTAAATTAGACGCTTAGCCATGTAATAATATATTTACGATTAACAATTACAATGTAATAATAATTAAATCGCAAAGCAACTGTTATAAATAATAATTACGATAAATATATTAATAAATACATACAATTAAATGAAATTATAAATATGTATGACGACGAAGTTAAGGAATTTCATTTATTTCGCTATTTAATGCAGGCCACCGAAGTTAAGGAAAACCCCAGTAAGGCAAAGCTGTGCCTGGACGACGCCGAGAATTTAATATCCGACACACTTTTTTTCTTGATAAGATGGATTTAAAGAGCAGTCCCAATTAGTTTTCACCATAATATAAGGTTGTTCCGCTTTTTTGCTCCTCATTCAATGCTTTATAAAAAGTGTTTCAATGATCGGATTTAGTTAAAATATGCACCGTTTTGTTCGATGATCTGTTTCCATCTAGACGGCAACTTCATAATACCTTCCTCGTAGAAGCGCCCCTCCTTATTTGCGAAGAATTCGGACAGCCACTTTTCACAAGCCTCTTTTGAGTTCAACTTCACACCACCAAGGGCATTCGCCATGGACAGGAACAGGTGGTAATCACTTGGCGCTACGTCTGGGCTATATGGTGGATGCAATAAAACCTCCCATCCGAGCTCCCGTAGCTTCTGACGAGTCATCAATGAAGTGTGTGGTCTGGCCTTTACCTGGTGGAAAACTACACCCTTCCTGTTGGCCAATTCTGGACGCTTCTGGTCGATCGCCTACTTCAAGCGGTCCAGTTGTTCGCAGTAGATGGTAGAATTAAGCGTCTGGCCATATGGGAGCAGTTCATAGTGGATGATTCCCTTCCTATCCCACCAAACACACAGCAAAACCTTCCTGGCCGTCAATCCCGGCTTTGCCACTGTTTGGGAGGATTCACCGGCCTTCGACCACGACCGTTTTCGCTTGATATTGTCGTATGTGATCCATTTTTCGTCGCCAGTCACCATCCGCTTCAAGAATGGGTCGAGTTCGTTCCGTTTCAGCAGCATATCGCAGGCGTTGATTCGGTCCAGAAGGTTTTTTTGCGTCAAATTATGCGGCACCCAAGCATCAAACTTTTTTTTGTATCCAGCCTTCTGCAGATGGTTTAAAATGGTTTGGTGACTAACTCCCATCTCCTGGGCGATGTCACGAGATGCCATATGCCGGTCTAACTCGATGTATTCCATGATTTGATAGGTATTTGTCGTCAAAGGTCTTCCGCCGGCTGGCTTATCCATGGTGTCGTTTTCACCGGCTCTGAATCGTCGAAACCATTCCTCCGCGGTTCGAAGTGATAGAGTACCATCCCCAAAACTCCATTAATCTCACGGAACGTTTCTCTAGTGGATTTGCCTTTAACGAAGGAAAACTTTAAAATAGCGCGAATTTCGGCGTTAGTGAATTCCATGTTCACACGTCTATAACTGTTGAATGCAATATCCGAACTAATCATGCATAGCGTTGTTTTGTAGGTTATGTCAAGACCTTTCAAATTATGTATAGTGTTGCCAGATACGAGCTCTGTAGCGCTTTGTACATAGCCGCGAAATTCAAAAGACAAAAAAGCGGAAGGGAGATATTTGACAGCCTTATATATAATGAAGAATGAAAGAACATGTCTTTGAGATCTTGCTTTTTCATCGTTAGCTTTATTTATTCGATTAGCTGTGGGTTTACATCAGTTGTGCGTTTCATAAAAAAAAAACAAAATTCATAAAAAAAAACAATCTAGCGGCAGGCGGTATTGAACCTTGTTCGTGGCGAGGGATGAGCACTCCGCTGTTCTGCATGAATTGCTACATATATATCTAAGCTGCCAAGAAGTTCTTTCTACATTATAATCCCTTTACGTTGAAACTGGATGCTACCCAATCACTGGAGGAAAGGATCATTAAACCGTATCATGGATGGGTAGAAATTTAATCAAATGGTCAGTGTTGAAATCTTTTCTTCAGAGCTATCCATTGGCGAGATTCTCAAGTATGCAGAGAAGAATAGGCAAACGGTTATTACTGCGCACATATTGAGTGCAAGTAGGTACTGTGATTAAGAGTTTCCTTTCTGTACACGTGTGTCAGTGAAACTTAGATAAACACCTTCATTGATATGGCTTCGAAATCGCCTTGGGAATGCAAAAGGCTTAAATCAAAACTCTCACACATAGTAGAAGTTCTCGCTGGGCATTCTCTGGCTGGCGTACACACGGTAGGGTTTGGGAATTCGTCAAATACTACTGTGCAAGTAGTCTCGAAGAGTAAATAAAATCCATGCACTTTCTTCTGAACTGTCTAAGGCTGAGCGATGGCTAAGGCTGAAAAGTCCCTATCAAACCAATATTTTTGCCATGCAAGTCGCTCATCATTCTGGACGATGAAGAAAAATGGCTGCTAAGCTGGCTGGGTCATGTCGTACGAATTGATAAGCATAATCCAGCTTTGAAAGTTGTTGATACAATATCCGCTGGCATTAGTAGTATTAGTGAGTTCTACGCCAGCAAAAGATAAAGAAGAAGAGTATAAACTCATCAAGCAAATATAATTCAGAAATACTTCTTCGGTAGTACTCCACATTGTATATTTAACCTGGTTGCTAGAATTCATGACGCATTATGCTGTTAGTATCGAACAACACTTTCATCTTGGACCGCACTTGTCGAACTTCTTTCGACCAAAATGCATTTGCGGGGATATTTGAACCTTTCTTTCGATGCCATATCCACCCTTATTTCATCACTTTTTATTATACGGTTCACAGTTAGTGATTAGATGACTTGATGCAACTTCTATTCACTTATAATCAAGCTAAATATTCAATCATTAAAAAAAACGGGTTTGACACACAGCTTTGGTTCTCGGAGTTCAAACTTATGAGTTTGAAAGATGGATAGAAAGATTCCGCAGAGTAAGGCTCTGCTCTATAATATATTCATACTTCCCCATTCGCTCTTCTCACCTTAACCCATTTGCAAGATTACATTCGTTTTTGGGACTTCAGATCTGAAATTTCTTTTTCTTCTTCTCCTTCTTCTCCTTCTTCTCTATTGGAGTAGGCACTGCTTACATGTTCATAGTTGAATCAGCAATTTCCTAGCTAATATTGTTGTTGGTGTTAATAATGATTCACAGTTATAACTGTAAATAGTGACGTGGGAGCCAAGTCGTTAATGCGATGTCTGTTTGTTTGATGACAGCAAATATTTCGTCTTGTCTTCGTGTTCAGATCTAAAACTAATTCTCTAATATTACCGCGTACAGCCAACCCTTTACGAAAGAAGTGAGTTATATTGGTCGAGTAATGAGTTGGTTCGGTTTTTTGATTGATTTTTCAAAATATGATAACTCGCGAACCAAACTCGGAGAATTTTCAAAGGCCTCTCTTCAGGCCAACTTCTTACCATTAGCGCATTCGCCATGAACAAGAAAAGTTGGTAATCACTTGGAGCCGGGTCCGGACTATAATGTGGGTGCATTAGAACCTCTCATCCGAGCCCCTGGAGCATCTGGCGAGTCACCAAAGACGTGTATGGTCTGGCGTTGTCCTGATTGAACACAATTCGGCTTCTGTTGATCAAAGATGGCCCCTTCTGGGTGAGTGCTGCCTTCAAGCGGTCCATTTGTTGGCAGTAGAGGGCCGAACTGAGCGTTTGACTATAGGGGAGCAGCTCGTAGTAGATGATTCCTTGCCAATCCCACCAAACACACTGCAAAACCTTTGTGGCCATCAATCCGGTGTTGGCCACCGTCTGGGCCGCTTCCTCCGAGCTTTGACCACAACCAATCGCGCGTTCGATGTTGTCGTGAGTGACCCATTTTTCATCGCCAGTCACAATACTTGCTGTTGTAGGGCTGCATGAGTTTGACATTATCGGCTGTGAGAGATATTTTTCATTTTCTCCAAACAAACTGTCAAAGACATCAAGGAACACAACTAGTAAATGAACGACCAGTCCAAGTACTACTCCAGTCCAGTGTGTGTCTGCCTCTGTCTCTGGTTTTATAACGCTAAGTAAACAAAATTTTAATACCCCAAAGAACAAACCACATGCAGTTTGTTTAAATGTATGTGTGTATATCAAAAAACAGCAAACATCTTCATCTTTTCCATTAAATTGCATGCCACATATGGTGAGACTGCATATATTTGCAACAAAATAACAGGAACAGAACGCAAACAACAATAAAAGAGTTTGAAATAAAAGTGCCATAAATTTGCCGCTTGGCTGCTATTAAGTAATTCACACGCGCGATTTAAGCAGGCGATAAGTTCCTGCATACATATATTACAGAAAGCACATGAAGGTAGATACTTATGCACATACAAACATATATAGAATACGTGTATATGCATAGCCGACTTTGAAACTGCCACAGCCGTATGGCAATAATTGCGGCACTGCAACTTCAACACCCTTTCGTGATAACTATTTAGCCAACTCATGGCATGCCATTTTGGTTCTTTTTTTGGCTCTCTTCTAAGCAATTCTTTCACCTTTGCGTTGAGCTGCATAAAAATGCAATAAATTAAATGAATTACCACCATCAACTTCAGTCAACCACACCCACAATGCGCCATAATTATACAGCTTTAGCATTTAACGAGTGTTCGGCAGTTATTATTTTTTTTTTACACTGATCGTTCTTTTTTTTTTTTGGAAAAACTTTATTTCACTCTTTTTATTTTATGTATGTATATCGCGCGGTATTGATTTAGTGCTTTCAACACTCTCATTCATTCGATAGCAAATCAATATAATTGTAAAAAGCTCCGCACCTGCAGTTGGGGCTCAGAATTATGGCTGATCATTGCCATTTTCTCTTGCTAAATTCCAAATAAAAAGTAAATGGCAATTTTTATATATATTATTTGTTTATTTCATATATGTATACATATAATATAAGTGGGTCATTCATATGTATGATATTTTGATGTTTTTTACGAATTTGGTGCAAGCATTTTCGAATTTATTTGAGTGAATAAAATCATCACATTTTAATATGAATA